CCTGCTGCATATCAACAGTACAAATCTCTGGGTCTTCCAGCTGTCTGTCCCAGGCTGATCTCTCATTCAGGACCCTGACATCCCTCCCCACCTCAGAACACCTCCCAGATTGCAGGACGGGCTCTCAGGCTCTGTTAGGTCATTTCAATAGCCTTTTCCATATTTTCATTTTTTTAATGACCACAGACCACAACCCTCCTTGCTGATATATGCCCTTTATACAAGAGCTCTGCTCCTCCTTACAGACTTTCTTCTTCTAGGTGGAGGATGAGGCCATCACCCAGAGTCTGTTAGAAACCTCCGCGGTGCCTCAGAACCAGACAGCACCGGAAACCAAAAATTGCCCTTTTAAATCTCCTATTTTTTTGCCATGTCATCACATTTTTGGAGCCTTCCACTGTTTTGGAGTTGTAACTTTATGATGTTGACTTTGCTCTGTGGCCCCACGCTGCATCGTTGATCATTAGAGTTTAAAGAAGTTCCTGCTTCTCCAGGAGTCAGAGTCCAACCTGGCGTGAAGAGGCAGAGGAGAAGCAACTGGCCTCGCGTGGCTCTTCACAAGTGCCACTGCTGCCCCCAAGCCTCTGGAAGGGACCTCGGACCAGCTCCTGAGAAGGGATTCAGATGGTTCTGAAACGTTCTTGCATGGTCTAAACCTTAAGCTGAGCATTAAGGTCCTCCTGTACGCTCCTCTCCCATTACCCCTCAGACAGACATATTTCAGGTAGGGATGCTTTCCATCTCACCACACTAGGAAGACTACAAGAGGCAGTCACACCTCTTCCTACTATCAGCAGCTGAAAGCTCAGGTGTGCTCACGCTCACCTCGATGTTTGCACAAAGGGCAAAGACAATGCCGCTTGCAGAAGCATTGAGAAACACGCTTTTCTTTGCTAGCCAGGGGAATGGGTGTGTGGCACAATTATCTTTAGTACATTTAATCTACCGTGTAAGTACGAATAAACTCGCTACTATTTATCAAGCCTATTTGCCCCACAATGTGTTCAGGGCTGTTTGGGGCCATGTCATCACATATTATTCACCTGCTAGAGAATCAATCGATAGTGATGAATGAACTGCTAATGGAGGGGTGGGGTGAGACCTACCCAGCCCTGTAACTGTTTGAAGCTGGGCAGGTCATGTCCACCCTCCCTGAGTCACGTTCTTTTTGGCTGAAGAGGACTAGGGACACCCCATTGCGAAGGGATGTGCAGGGACTAAGGGTGAGAGCCTAAAGGCAGCTCCAAGCAAAGTGAGGAGGTCCCAAGTAAAGCTTCTCATGGCCCTTTTTCATAGTTTTGCTCTTTTTCCCAGCAGATCGATCCAGGTGACACCTGCATTATATCAGAGCTGGCCAGGAGCCCAGGAACACAAACCGCTGGCAGCAGGGAAAGCAGACGCAAAGCACTCAGGACCCTGGCATGGCAGATGGTGTCCTAACATGAGAAGAGACCAGGAAGAAACCAGGTTTCCAAGCAGCCTCTGCCCGGTACAGAGCACAGCTATCGGAACTGCTGGGTTTCTTGAGATCCAGATGAATCTGTGGGGAACCGTATGCCACTTGTGGCTACCTCAGGCAGGGAGTAAAGACATTCCTCCTTTTCCAAGCTTATGGTGGGTTCTCTGATCCAGACTCCAGAGAATCCCAGCAGAGCCTCTGAATCAGGGTTTTCCTCTAAGCAAAGCATTTCCGAAGATTTCAAACCAGCTCGCTGGAAATAGCAGGCACAGAGGCTTAGATGGAAGTCGGGCTGGATGTTTTGTGCTGACGGGATTCGAACGCAATGTCAAGCGAGGCACCAAGTGCAGAAAACACCTTCAATCCCTGCGTTCCTGCACCAGGCCCAGGGACAAGTGGGCAGAGCAGGATGCAGGGGGGACACGGCTCTCTACCCGTAGGAAAGAGCGCAAAAGAGCCAGTTTTCCTTCAGTGCTGCTGGACTTTGGCAGGGTGGAGGGGCACGGCCACCTCCTGCCCATCCCAGCCACCCCCATCACGGCTGAGCCGGTGGTGGGAGCCTGCTCAAGCCCCACCGCACCGCTGATCAGGCAGCGGGACGAGAGGGGAAGGACAAACAACCAAGCCTTTTGCTTCCTCTTCCGACCTGACAGTTTAAAAAATGTTGACCAATATACTTCTCAAGGCCCAAGTACAGACAGAACAGAACCGACTGGGACGGAGTTTCAGAGCCCATGAGCTCGATTCAGTTGCCCAAAGACAGACGCTGGCTCAATGACCATGGAATTCTTGTAAGATACTGGACTGTACTGGTCCCGTTTAAGGCCTGTCAGGAATAGTACACGGAGAAAGCACGGAGACAGAGGCTTCCCTGCAAAGTGTCCATCTATTAGCATCTCTCGTGCAACAAGCTCTGGCTGGGTCACTGCACACCAGTTTCACAGAACTGACTTCTCATTGCAAGGAAGGAGAAACAAAAGTAAAGGTGGTTCGGGTGCTGTCAACTCTGCCCTAGGCTTGCAGAGGCCACACGGCCACGTTCCCTGCAGGACTGCCCCCACGCAGCAGTCCTAAGAAACACACTGGAAAAATTCTTAAGCCTGCAGTAGAACTTGCTCCTCTGTTGGGAACATCTCAGCTTCACGTCCTGTTTCTGAGGGATGCAGCAGGACAGGACATTAGTTGTGAGGGTCAGGTGGACCACACCAGGTCCTGCATGGAGAGGTGGCTCTCACCATGGGCAGGGAAGAGTTTTTAGAGACAGCAAAGCTGTGTCTGCAGGACACTGGTGCCCGCTAAGGTTGGGTGGGGGCTGGGGACAGCGAACAGGTGGAACACACTCGTATTTATACACTCGAGCATTCCAAAATTCAGTAATATCAGAATCAGGCTTTAACAGGCAGCAGGAAGCTACCAAGGAGGCCTGTTGTAGAGAAAAT